CGGTAATTAAGACCTATGATATCAATATCAAAAAGATTGTGCCTTGTCTATATATCTCGCAGTTTTTATTGTTTTCTTCTGCATCCAATTAAAGAAGCTAACTGATACAGCGCCCAAAGATTTGCAAAGGTTTCAACTGCTCACGTAAACAGTGTGTAGCCCGAGTCTTTAACAATATTTGGCTTATGCTGGTACTTGGTCTATTGTAGATCTGCCAGATCTGAAACCACACTCAATAAAAATGACCATTTGTTGCGATATTGAAGCGGGTTACTCCACGATAATCAAAGAAAATTGTAGTGTCCGGCTTTCATCGGATTGGGCAAAGTACGCGAAGGTTTCAATGGTTGAGCATGCTTTGCAAAGAAGCTGATGCAAGCAACTTGTCAGCTCTTACATCACATACTTGAATAGCTCAACCGATAAGCCATTGTCTTCCGCTACTTCGTTATACGAATTTATCATAGTCTCTTGGTGGAACATACATACACATAAGCCAACGTTGTCGGGTGTTTCATTTTCAATGCAGTTAAGCGGACTGGAGAAATATTCCCTACATAAACTCGGTATACCAGATCTTCTTTCCCCAACCTATAGGAAAATTCTTCGACATTGAAACCATCTGAGGGTATTTTCGATCATTTTCTCATAATTCTTAATTTTCTATGAATTAAAAAAATATATCAAAATATATTTTTCTTTATAGTAAGGACGTTTAAAATTTTGATTTAAATACAATTTCTGAATTATTTGAAATGCATTATTCCAGCGCGAATTTGCATTAAACAGAGATTTGAAATATTTATTTCATTAAACAGCAAATTAATATCCAAGCGCTAGCAGCAAAGGAAATTTCTTCAAAAAAATAATAATATTAACAAATTACAAACATTTGTGTGAGTTTTATTTACACGCACACACACACACACACCCACCTAAACTGCCAATCACTGAGGGTTAGCACAAGCTTCACTTCCGCCAATAAATACAAATTTGCTTTATACATTTGTACGTATGTATGTGTGTAAGTATGTGTGTGTGTGTGCGTGTGTGTGTGCGTGTATAGACATAGTAAACGAGGTAAACAAATTGTTAGCGAAAGTACCTATAATGATAACGAATCGCATTGACAATGCACAAACAAACAAACAAACAAATGAGCACCCAAAGACCACAGGGAAGCAGCACGAGACCCACAAGCCCATCAAATGCACGTCTATGTACATATATTGCAAGTATATAATTTTGCATGCACATACATACATATATAAGTATAAAATCATATAACAAAATGGCGTTACGATGACAGCAGCCAACAACAACAACAGCAAGAATATCTAGAACGAAGATGACTCGGCCAATGAATGAGCTTTAATGCAATTTAGTTGCATTTCCATGCAACAAGGGCTGTGCAGCTGCTGCTGTTCAAGGGCTGACTATTCCAAAGCGGCAACATCCCTTGGGGACTTCAGTATATGCAAACGAATGTATGTATGCGAGTTCGACTATGTAATAGTATACAAATACATGGCAGAGAAAACTGTATGTGTGTGTGTGTGTGCAAGTCCCTAAAGGTGGCGCGTACATGCGCATGAAATGCGAAATGCACTGGAAGTGAGGCGGCAAGCGAGAACCTATGCTCCAGTGGTCACCTATATATGTACGAGTGCACGAGAAGTGTTTATATGTATTTACACAACTGCATACATACATACACATGTAGCATACAGGCATATGCATGTAAACCCCATCTGCCTACTTCTTCTCGTTATAAGTTCTTATTTTTGTTTTTGTTTTTCTTGCTGCCAACACTTGTAGTCAGCCGTCCCTTTTCAATATCGTAAACAAAACAACAAATCACAACCCACACTCAGCCATTTCGCGCCTATTCAGTCGCCCTTACATGGAGGACGACAAGCTAAAAGCAACAACAGCAAGAACAACGTGCAATCTGTGCTCGCTTCACATGTATTGTACATACATACATACATACATACCCACCTAACAAGCATAGTCACATGAGAATTATTCAATTTGTATGTAACCTTTTGGCCTCCCATGAGACAAACTATACATATTGCACCACATACACACAATCTATATATATATGTGTGTATATACGTATGTGTGTATGTATATGGGTAGCAAGGAGGCACCGTATGTTCGGTATGCGCTGGCGCTTAGCCAACGAAAGCACAGCATTTTATATACTCACTGCTCAACGCTTCGGTATGCGTGTGTATCCAAGAGTGATAGGAAGCAAAAACGGAAACCCCACCACCAGCATATAGCCGGCACTAGTTGGCCAAGCAACCCCCCACGGCCCAATTGGAGCCACCACCAATGCAGCGTGTTACCAATACAAGAGTAATACGTCCTTTCAGCTAACCTTTTATAAATACATACATACATGCATACATACGAGTATATATATGTATAAAGAGAGGGCGTCGCAGTAAATTTTTCTTCTCAAACATTTTTTTATATGCCTCGGCTGCTCTTGTGTGCTTGTGTGTGTTATGTGTGTTATGTAAAACATTTTCGTTTTCTTTATTTTTCATTTTCTTTTTTCCCTTTTTTTTCGTTTTCACCTTTCTTCTTGACGTTTCGTTTCATTTTCTCAATGCATTTTTTTACGACTTTCTTCGCACTTTTTTCTTCGTGTTTCCAGCGAGCTTCAATTGCTTTTTCACTCGCACTGCTTGGTTTGCATAACGAAAAAAAAAATGCTCAGCTCTTCTTCTTGCCTGCTCTCCTCCTTTGTTTATATACGCATACCTATTACGCTCCCCATTGGGTGGTGGTGAGCCACTTGATTTTCATTTGGTTTATGAATTGGTAGGTGCCTCTCTCACCACACTCACCACACACGTACTTTTTTGAAGTACCGTTATTACGCATCAACGAACCGAATATGAATTGAGTAGAGTTGAGTTGAGTTGAATTGAATTGAAAGGAATTGAATTAAATTCAATTAGATGATTTTTATTAAATGATGTGGAAGACAGAATATGACAGGCTTGGCATACTATGAAGACCTCTAATTAATATGTATTATATTATTTCGCTTTTATGGGTCTTTTTTTGATGCGATTAGTGAAGTTAATTGTGGCTTGGGTACAAGTGCTCATCTCATATTCAGCCGAGCTGGGCGGAAAATAAGTAAATTACTAATATTAAATATTAAACAAAATTAAAAGAATAAACTTTGTTCACACACTTTTGAGGTTAGGAGAAAATGACTAATCCTTATGCGCCTATAAGTGATATTATTGCTTTGCTTCTTCTTTATTGGCATAGGTAACGCTTGAGCCGATTGAATTTAAGACACCAAGCGAGGTCTAGTTCTTCTCCATCTGATCTTTCCAACAGATTGAAGATCTTCCACTTCGTCTATTTCCAACAGCGGATTCCACATCGACTACTTTCAAAGTTTATGTATTTTCGTCCATCCGCACAGAATTACCGAGCGATCTTCGTTTCGCTTTACCAAGTCAATGTCACCGTTACTTATTTGCAAAAACTCGTCAATCAGTCGCAAAGCCTTTCTCTCGTGAACTCTTAGTGCCAACTCATGGGATATAGTCATCGCGCAAGCCTCTGCACCAGATAGCCAAACGAGACTTGTAGAGTTTAGTTTGTGTTTGTCGGGAGAGGACTTTACTTTTCGATTGGCTAATCTGTCCAAATTAACACCTGCTGGCTAGAGGGATTCAGTGTGGGATTAGAATGCTGGCATTGAAGCTGGTCACCATGTAGAATGCTGGCATTGAAGCTGGTCACCATGTAGACAAAGTTATTTAGAACTTCAAAGTGGAATCCAAGAAGCGAATGCATTGGCTATCTGTTTGATGACGGCACATAATTAGTATGGTCCTCCCGTACCGTTCACTTCGTTTCTTTGTCTTGGCTGAAGACTGTCTATTATATCAATATCATCGACATACGCCAGTAGTTGTATGCCCTTCCCCCTTCACTGTTCAGCTCTTCAGCTCCTATCATTTTCCTGAACATTAAATTAAAGAAGTCCATATCGAACGGCTCGGAGGGTTTCGCATGATGCTTTCTATGATCGTGGTAAGCAAGTTAGATATTTTTGGCGCAAGAGTTGAGAAAATCATCTTCGGTGAAGTAAAATCTCCAACCAGATAGAAGCAGAAGGATTTCGCAGAATTGTGTATGTCTGACTGAGGAGGGTAATACTCGAAAATTCTACGTAAAGTAACGGTGATTTCCAGACCGGAGCATACTGTTATGAGAACCAAGGAGGTAATCTGGTGGCCGATATCTAGAGCTCTCTTGGTGTATGCAGAGAGCACTTCTGCAATCTGCTGGATGGCAGTGCAAATGGAAGACCATGAGTTGTCGAACCCGAAACCCTAATCGATGATGATGATGAAAAAAACGTTCCATTCGTATAGCGATTTCCCTTTTAAAGAGAAACAAAGCGGATGGAATTCATGGCTTTCCGGTAGAATTATTCCAGCATGGCGGCGACGAACTGACAAAGTACATGCATCAGCTTCTTTGCAGTCTATGATCGGCCAAAAGCATGCCAAACGATTGGATGCGGAAACCAACAGACTTAAGTCTTGCCAGAACAACTACTGGAATCTATCAGGACTCAAAATGATTATCTCGCTGCTGTAAGCCCTCACTTCTGAAAGTTTTGATGAACCTTGATCTTTATTTGTTTTTTTCAACCTGAGGCTCTCTCTGTCTATTCCAAAGATGTGAGCGAAGATTTCCTCCTCCAATATGTTTATTGTTTTATAGTGTTGAAATCTGCATAGCAATCTATAAAAAAGTTTCGCGGATGAGTATTTTAGATATATAAATATTTAGAATAAATATTTAAGAATAAAGAATAAGATACATATATATCTCATAATACCACATCTTTACTACTAAAAATATAAACCGAGCCCAACATCTTTCTTGCCAAAATATCTAATTAATATTTTTCCTGCTCTCTCTCTCTCTCTTCCACTTTTCTTCAGGAGGCTTCTCCGCTGAGTACTCATCAACAGCGTAATCTCTCTGCGGTGACTATCAATGCTGGAGGAGCAACAGCTCTTGCGAGCGTCTCCTCCAGCGCCTCGATCGCGTCCCCGCTCAGCAATCACAACAGCGGCAATGGCAACGCCAACGGCAACGGTAACATCGGCAACAGCGCCAACAGCAACGGTAACATCAACATCAACGGTGGTAGCGGAGCCGGAGGCAGCAGTAACACCAACACCAATCACAGCAGCAACACGCTCACCAGTACAAATCTCACGCACACCCTCCCCAGCAGTCACACCGGCACCATAGGCAGTCACGGTCATAGTCACAGCGGCAGCTATTTAACACCACCACCCAGCGTCAGCCTCAGCACCAGCTCATCCTCTGCGAGTAGTGGTGGTCCACCCGCATCTAGTTCCTATTATGAAAGTTTACGCAACAATGTCATTACACTACTCGAACATGTACGTCTGCCACCACCCGGCGGTAATGGTGTGCCGAGTATGAGTGCGAGTCCGTTGGGTGGTGGGCATGGTGGTGGTGGCGGCAATAATGTGAGTAGCACCAGCTTGGGCGGTCATCCAACTGACGCAATTGGTAATAGTTTATCTGGTTTACCTGCCACTGCTGAGGTGTTGAGTAATCAGCAATTGACCAGCGCTTATGGCATGCCACATGCAACACATCCCACACTCATACCGCCGAGTCCATTGCCTACAGCTTCTATAGCACCAACGAATGTAGTTAGCGGTGCCGTATCTATGTATGCCGCGCCACCTCATCACTTGGCTGGCACACATCCAGGTATGTTAGGGCCACCACCACCACCGCCACCGCCTCCACATAGCGCCGGTATGCCGCCACATCATCCGTACACCGTACATCATCCAGCTAGCTATGGTCATCACGAGCCCTTCGACTCGTACATATCAAAACTTCAGTCACTATGTGTACCCCCAGATGTTTATGCATTACCAGATGATGGTAGTCGAGGAGCTGTATACGACCCTGTTAAGCCAAGTTTGCATCAAGATTACACACTAATGCCGACGCCGATATAAGCGTGGATGAGAAGTGAATTGGAGAGGGAGAGAGATTATTGGAGTTAAATGAAGAACGAAATAAACTTTAGAAGGATAGGGGTGTAAGTAGTCAACTCGCATTTGCATATGTATATGTAAATAAATATTTGTATATAGAAATTTATTCTTAAATAAGCCTTGATGGGGTATTTCAATTGTCTGGTTTTTAATCGGGAGTTCCATCCGTCTCTCTCATTCGGATACGGAATTACATTCCAGAAGTCACCACTACTTATGATACCGAGAGTTTCGGCATTCATTGCATATGAAACTGTCTTTAGAGTCTTTTTTATCCTCAAAATGACGGCTGAGACTAAGAAAATAAGAGCATTCTTGAATAAAGCTAAATTGTAATGATTTCTAATTTTTAAATATGCAGCATACATACATACATGGCAGCGTTTGAGATTTCCATAGATAACTAGATGTACGAAATCTCCATTTTTAAGGGCAGGGAGGCGTTTCAATAATTTTTCAGAATGTATCTGAAATATAATGCAAATAAATTCTTGTAAATAATTTAATTAATGATAAAAAAATCATATTTGATTGGTTAAAAGCGTCCGCCAAAGCTCATCACAACTTAAAAGCTTTTGAGTGAAACGAAAAATCAACCAATGAAAGCTTTTGAGGTAAAAGTCTTTTTACTGTAAAAGCAAATAAAATAAAATAAGATAAAACAAAGTAAAGATAAATAAAATAAAATAAAATAAAATACAATAAAATAAAAATAAATAAAATAAAATAAAATAAAATAAAATAAAATAAAATAAAATAAAATAAAATAAAACAAAGTAAAGATAAATAAAATAAAATAAAATAAAATCATAAAAAAATAAAATAAAATATGACCAAATAAAATAAAAAAAAAAATAAAAAAAATAAAATAAAATAAAATAAAACAAAATAAAATAAAATCATAAAAAAATAAAATAAAATAAAACCAAATAAAATAAAAAAAAATAAAAAAATAAAATAAAATAAAATCATAAAAAGGAAATTAAAATGAAATGAAATAAATTATTAAATTAAATAATAAATAAAATGAAATAAATTAATATAAAACAAAAACATATATAAAATGAAAAATAATCTTAAAAAAATGTATGAATACAAAATAAAATAAAAAAATGAGGTAAAATAAAAAATTAAGTAATATTGTATAAGTTGTATGAAAAATTGTATTATATTAAAATAAATAAAAATTAAATAAAACTAAATTAAAAAAAAAGAATGTAAAATAATTTTTGAAAAGTTTAATTATATCAAAAAAATAAATAACATTAAAAAAATAATATAAAATGAAATAAAATAAAAATAAATAAAATAATATACTCTAACATAATATTAACTTAAATTAAATTACACTAAATTAAATGAAATAAATTATATTAATTAGTAAATTAATTAATAAATATAATGAACGTGTATATATTCATATATAAAACAAAAGTTTATTTTCAAAAAATTATTATTAAAATTCAAAAATAGAATTACATAACTAAATATATATATATGCGAATTTCTTAAAGCGTAAAGACAGGTATCGAGCATTAATAGCCTTAAAAAAATTAACAAAATTTCTATGTAAATAATTAATAACATAAGACATTAGAAAGTGTAGGGAAAAAACAGCGCTAAAATAAATGTTTTATGTTTTAATTTTTGTGTATGTAGATATGTCATAATTTAAAATATTCGCTGTTAAAAATATGTGTTCGAAAAAAAATTAAGAAAATAATGATTGAATATAAATTAATAAGATAAAATGTTTAAATATTTATATGCGTGTATATGGTCGAAATTTGTAATTATGTATCTTTAAACAAAAGCTCATACTATGTATAGTTGACACAAGGTAGAAAAAAATTTCAAAATAATATATAACTAACCAAAAACCAGTCACCAACGAAAACGTATACGAATAATGTTAAAAAGATTTTTTAAGTTAATAAAGATTGATAAAGAAATTTAAATAAAAACTTCTGAAAGTTTATGACATAAGCTTTCCGTGGAGCTTTTGCCGTATTTTGCACTACATTCAGCAGAGAAGAATAAGCCATTACAAATGTTGGTCTGGCGCTTCATGAATTGTAAATACATTTTCTTTGTACAAAAAAAAATAAAAACACGTTATTAATTTAGAGTTAAATTGCAAATATAACAAGTAACCAAATTAGCTGTAATAATTATTAATATTAAATTCACGATTGATGTGCAGTTCCGCAATACAGCGAAGCATTAGGGAAACCCCTTATTACTAAATAGTAACTTCGCCATAACTGAGTTGATATGTAAATAGCAAATAGAAGGAATTAAAAATAAACGGAAATAAAACAAAATAAATAATTATGGTATAAAATAGGTATATATACATATATATACAGTTTTTTGTAAAGGCATTAGTGGTATTCACGTAATAGCAACAAAAAACCCTAAAACCCGTATTTTAAAAAATTATAATTTTTTATGTTTTATGATTTTGCTTTTATTAATACAAATTTACTCAAATAATGCGAGTATTAAGCGAAAGTATTGGATCAGAAGGATATACATATGTTGTAATTCATTATGAATAGGTTTGTGTTGATTGCTAATTAAAGTCTAAAGTAAATAAAAATATGAAAAAAATAAGCAAAAATGAATAAAAATTAAACAATTGCGTAATAATGAGTAAACAATTATCTACATAAATTTTATTAACAATCAAAATGTGTGTATATAAAATGTAAATAATATTAGCAGTTAATGACGGTACATGGATAAAAGCTCTTATGTCTATTGAAATCATATTATATATAGACATTAGACATTAGCGTTTAGCAACAATGCAAATATCAACAAAGTGCAATAAAAACTATTCATAAAAATTAAATTAAATTAAAAACATATAAAAACACTCCTTAAGCAAATAAATGTAAAATACAACTAAAATAATTTAATGTAATCAAAAATTCTTGAAACGAAATAAAAATTGAAAAATCGAAGTTTTTAACTGAAAAAAAAATTAAAAAAAAAATCATGCATGTATTTAGTAAAAATTATAAATAAACATATATAAAAATCATACACAAAAACTATGAAACTAGAAAACAACCGATGATGTTAATTCATATAAATTATATAATATATTCTTATGTATGTAAGTATATCAATTTTAAGTGATGAAATTTGTAAAAAAAAAAAATTTCGTAAAAAAAAATTAAAAAAAAAATAGTTAAAAGGAACTAATTATAATTAGAAATAATAAACTAGTGTAAACGAAAAATAAATTGAAAAAAAAAAAAAAAAAAAATGTTTGACCTAGAAAAAGTGCACAGGAAATTCACGTTTTTCGCGTAATGTAAATGTCTCACATAAAATCAAGAAACACTAGTATTATTAGTCGTAAGAAAAATATATAAACCAATATTCAACCCCCCATACTGCTGTAATACGTCAAAGGTAATTCAAATAAATCTGAAATTAAGAAAAATGTAATGACAAAAGAATAAATAAATGTTAAACCTAATTTAGTAATTAAATAAATAAATTGTAACAAAAATAATTAAAATCTAATTTTTGTCTAATTTGGAATTTTGTGTGTCCTCGTAAGCATAGATCGGATAGCAAAGTGAAGCAAGAAAATTTCTTGATTTATTCTTCAGCATAATCCAAAACCTACTTGGTTTAAGGGTCGACTGATATTTGAGAATTCAAGCCGGTGTCAAGCATAAATCTCCCTTTGACCTCCCAAAGATCCAAGTTGTATATCGTCAAAGTGTTGAGTAGTAGAATGGCGAGCTTATCAAACTTCTTCTTCCCTGTAATAACTTTTTTTGTGCTGGCCGACAAGGGTAATGCTCGAAAATTCTCTTGAAAAAATGCATTAGCTCAAAGAAGGTTTAGAGGCCAGAGCACACTCATATATTAACATTTAACCAGCCTACTGATTTGCAGGGAAAGTGCAACACCCAAAGATGGTGAGCCTGAAACTCCCAACATGTCGAGGTTCGAATAGCGATTGTCCGCTAAAAGAACAGCCAACCGACTGAAGCTGATAGCATATCAGCAGAGCTGGTCAAACATGATGACGAAGAGCTGAAAATGCGGAATGTAAGCGGACGAATGCGAGTTTGAGCATAAGAATCCATGTGTGATCTGCCCAATTCAATAAAAGAAGTATAAACCAAATACCGTAGAATAACGATTATAAGGGCTCATAGAGCGTATTGTGTGAAAGACTGAGGAGTAGAGCCACGGGTATATACAGAGGGTCTTAACATCTTCCTCTCTCTCATGCTCTCTCCCTCTCTCCTTTCTCTTTCTTGCTCTCTCTCTCTCTCGTTCCTTCTCGTTTATCTTTTTTGCTGTCTCTCGTTTCTCTCTCTTGCTCTCTCTCCCTTTCGCAATTTCTTTCTCTTTATTTATCTCTCTCCTTTTTTTTGTCTCTCTCTCTCACTTCCTCCCTTTCTAGCTGTCTCTCTCTCTCTCTCTCTTTCTCGCTCTCTCTTCCTCTGTCTCCCTTTCGCTATCTCTTTCTGTCTCTCTCTTTCTCGCTCTCTCTTCCTCTCTTTCTCCCCTTCTCTATCTTTTTCTCTCTCGCTATTCTATTACCAAACTCAGCTGGCATTTACCAAGCGGAAAGACTAAGCGCTCTATTTGCTTTTCATTACCGGAGGATACAAAAGGCAATCATTTACACAGCCAGTTAAGCGGCTTTGGTGGCCTTATCGTCGCCAAAGATTTATTCAAGCTTAGTCATTTATTTCAGAAGTGCTTTAAGCTCACTTTTAGGTCAACTCCACTAATCGCAGAAACCCTTTCGACAATGAAAAAGCTGACGAGTTGGTCTAGTATTGAGTCTCTTTAGATGAATTCAAGGGACAGTTATTGCCATGTCCAATCAAGAGTACTTTATGAACAACTTGAGGAATAGCTGAGGACAGATGAAAATTTAAAGCCGAATATAAGATAACAAGGCAATTTTAAATATGATAGGTCCTGGAATGGTACAAGTGGAGATCGGCAGCGCAATGTTATGACAACTGCTCAATTTCGTAAGCTCTACACATTGGTTTGACTGACGTATATGGGGATCCTATCAGTGAGTCTGCCGGCCGCATTAGCTGAGGCCAATATCCAACCCTCGGCAAAGGATGTCGACCCCACCAAGTGCACTTCATACATGAAATCAAAAACATTCCAAAGAAGACCATCAACCTTTACGTAGACATCAAGACGCACATCTTCATCATTCATTTGAGCTATTTGATTATATGGATACCCGGCTCCTGTGTTATAGTAGAAGTATTCACTATCCTTTTGAGGCATAAAGACCTCATTATATACAATACTACTGCTAATAGCATTGTACATTTAGTATCATTGGACGAAGAAGACATACACTCTGTTGGAAAGATCAGATATGTAAGGACCTGGTTGCACTTGGTATCTTCAATTAACGCCAAATTACAAAAAGGAGAAACTATTGGATCGCTGTGTTGTCGGCTATAAC